GAGCTGAAACGCTCTGGCCACTGCTGGCTGCAGGGAACTGCCACAGATTGCACTGTTGTGTACAGAGTTTGGTGTTTGCTAACAAGGAAGCCAGAGCTCAGCCTTTACCAACCTGGACACTTTCAAAGTGCAGTGGCAGATTAAGGGCAATAGAAAAAGAAAAGGTGGGTTCAAGACCCAAACCTACCTGTGAGTACGTACTTCTGCAACTGCCACTGACTTTACTGCCAGGTCTCTGTCGCTGCAAGCAGCTGCCAGCCTTGAAATAACCTTGTAAAATTTTATGTATACCTAACAACCTAGAAAAAGCCTGCTCGCCTGCTTCCTTACCTGAATAACAACAGCAGAAAAAAATATTTGTCTATACACACACAAACACAAAAAATCTTTGTAGGAGAGAGGAGATAATCCAAAGCCTCTCAACTGACTTTGTAGTTCAAGCATGTATCAGAATTTTTAAAAGTATTTCAAACCATGCTCCAGTTCAGCAGCTTGGCACATCAGGTGCAGCCATCCAGCACCTTCCAGCAGCATGACGCTGTTATCCCACAGAAAAAGAAGAAAGATTTCACCTTTTCCATCTTTTAAACAGGATGACCCCACCCCCACCTTTCATTTGCATTTGGCACTCATGGCCTCAAACTTCTTTGAAATACCATGAACTTGAACTATTGCACTGTCCTTCGAGGGAATAATTTCCAAATAATATTGCTGCTTCCTCTCTATTGTGCCACAAGTCCAGTACGTGGTTAGGAATCCATCAGCTGAGGTACCTCCATGAAAAACTGAATTAGGAGCTGGTTTTGGACTCTTCATTCGCCTCAAATAATAACGCTGTGCTTGGTAAAGAGGATGAGAGGGGCTGCAAGTTAAGGTCAGGAGGCAAAGCCCTTTCTCCTACAATCCAGCTGCCCTGGCAGAAGAAACAAGTGATTTGATGACCACTGTTACTCCTAGGTTCTGAGCAGAGTTAAGATACAAGCTAGCAGGCTACAAACTACTCCTGATGTAAGTCCAGGGAACCTTAGAAAAATTAGAAAAATATTAGAAAAATGTTTAAACCTAATTACTCAAAACAACAGAAGAAAGCCGCATGTATTTTTTCCCTATTCTTCCACATCCTTCTGCTAGAAGCTGTTTTTCCAGAGTAAAAGGACATGCTACATCAAGCCTTGTGTGCTCTCTGTGCATTACTTGTGTAGTTTTAAGGCAAAATGCCTTTGGTGTGTACCAGTGACATGTGCCAGCCTTACACAGCAACACGCTGCTGTGGCTTATTGCTCTGTTTCAATAGACAAAATAAAGGACCAGCATAGCTCTGATTGTCATCTCTTAGATTGTCAGCCAGCATTTCAAGAGGAATGTAAGAAGTTATGAGGTCGTCTTTTTTGAGGGGGTATCTTGAAAAAAGTTCAGTTAGGGCAAAGACACACATATTTAACTGTCTTAACAGCAGCAAATTATTCCTTCATCTGTGAAGCTGCATTTGACCTAAACCACCATGTTTTGCTATTAGCCAAGGTATTCTGCACTGGTTTCTCATTACAATCTCTTTACCCCACACAGTTTAGGAAACAGGAGACGTGTCTAAGTAACAGAAAACAGTCCTCTATGGCCTAGTAAATAGGGATTAGAAAACCATTACAAAATTCTTATTGTGTAGGCTATGAAAAAAAATTAAAACTTTGAAAAACACACAAACCATTCAATCTGTACACATCACACCTCAGTAATGGCTTTGTAGCCACACAGTTTGGTGAAATGTTACCCAGCGGGCTTTATCCCACTGTCCAGTAACTACTCATAGTTTAAGTCAGAGGTGGAGAAAAGCTTGTCAGACAACAGTCTATTCCCACATCAACACAGGATCCTCTGAGGCTTTGTACACTGAACCGCACGTACAGCATTCAGCAAGATCAACAGTTCCTCCAAATATTATCTTCAGTTTCTGTCTGGAATGTCCTTCTTCGCTGCAGTTTAGCATAACGAATATATCAAGGGTCTTCTTCCATGTCATCTGGATTAGGAGCCATAATAAAATGCTGGGGATACTCAAGGTTGTGTTCAAAAGCATGTTCTTTCCAGCGTGCATCGTCACTCTCATGGGTAATGTAACGCTCCCCAATACGTGTTTCAAATTCTCTGAGGTCAAGCCAAGTCTGATAATCCTAAGGAATAAGACAGATTTAATGATGCAGCTTATCCTTGGGAATGTAGTTCTGCTGTTTTTTAAATTGCACAGTTTGTCTCTACTTTTAATATAAATAGCTGCAAGATAGAATCAAGATCTGTTAAAAAAAAAAAATCCCTCCCAAAAAAACCCAACAGAGTATGTCCACACAGAGCAGTTTAAAATTAAATAGGCTAGTATCTAAGGTTGTAATACTACAAATCACACTATAAATAACTATATTTTTTTTGTAACAAGACAGCTATGTTAGCTTTATTATAAAATTAATTGTATATATACACATACAGGAAATCATCCTTGTTCCAATAATGTCTGTACTCAAAATTAATTGAATTTTCCCCTTAATGTCTTTTAAGTTATTTGTGTGCATGGCTATGTGCATATGGTATTGTGAAAGCGTAATGAAAGGAACCTGCATCAAACAAGCAGATGAATTTCATTCCAAACAATTCTCTTCTAAAACAGCTTCAAATTCTAGCACAGGACAGCTCGTGTGTCCACTTCAACACCGACAACCAATGTTTGTCTTTGTACTGGTTTCAGCGGTGCCAGAAGAGTAAAACTCTACCTTGGTGCCAGTCAAAGTAAGGGGCGGGAGAGACAGGAAGACATTTTTTCTTGAGGAAAGGAGCCATTAACAGATGGGCAGAATCCTGGAGCACATAAAGTGTAAAGCTAAAAATAGAAACACTCAAGGCTCCATGAATGCTGGTTAACAAACTTTGATAGCAACAGTTTTAATAAGCTGAAGGATTTAATTTAAAAAAAATAATCATTATTCACCTGTTACAAACACAGTAAAAAATGCAGATGGGTTTACCTGTAACCACGGGTGACTAAGGGATTTGTCAACACTGAAACGTTTTCTCATCTTCACTTGAAGCAAATTGTTTATTAAATCAATGGCTGACAAAGAAGAACAAAACAAAAATTATATTGCTTAAACAACAATCACCTCTATCATCATTCACATGCTGCAGTGAAAGTGATCTTTTAATACAGGTGTGTATCCTACTGAACTCTGAAATCTTATTTAGCTTTGCTTATGTTAAATAAGGCTACAACACAAGTGTGAGGTAAGCTTCCCCTCCTTTGATGGAAACACTAGCAGCTTTACTATATTACTTGTTAATCTTTTTCCATACTGATTTTAGTGATTTTCAGAAGTGCCTATATAACTTGAGCATAATCCTGTGTTTCAAAGTGATGTAGGTACTTCCACTGTTGTATACATTTGTCAATGTCCTTCCACATCTACCTGTGTGTTAGGCATATGTACATTACTAATAACAAAGCTGGCACTGGAGAGCTCCAGAGACCAACCTTGGAAACTTCTAGGCTGTTTTGACCTGACATTTAGATCCAGGTTTTGTTTTACTTGCTAATGTACAAAACTAAAATTCCAGATTGAACTTCAAACAATTCCTGTAATTATAGTTGAGAAAAAAGTCTGTTTCGAGATCAGCATTCAACAAATACTCACACATGATTTAACTTTTTTGGGGGAAGTTTCAGGTCCCACTCCTCATGCATGCAATTAATTTTTCTTGTTAAATCTATTGGCTCCTCCTGCCCTGAAAATTACCTAAAACATGATATTTGACAATTCATCTTTCACAAAGGTATGCTAGCTCATATTTATCCATTTTGATATAGTGTACTAAACTCAAACTATCAATAGTGCTCATGCTCCTATCAGAATGAATCTTGAGGTTTAAGCATTTGAATGCATTATCTACACATAAAGACATTCTAACAGAGAAAACTCACTGCTTTACCTTCACTAGAAATTTCCTTCCAAGGATTTGGTGGGTACATAAATGCTGCATTTTGAATCTGATCGTTTATATCCTCATCTTCATTAAATGGGAATGTACCACTGAGGCTCACATAGACAATAACTCCTACTGACCACATGTCTAGAGAGCGGTTGTAACCTTTACTCCTGAGCACTTCGGGGGCGAGATAAGCAGGTGTCCCCACCACAGAGCGCCTGAAAGATTTTTCACCAATGATGCGTGCAAAGCCAAAATCACACAGCTTCACCTGCAAAAGAAATATATTTTAAACTGAGAAATCTCTGCTTGATCTACAAAACATGCTGCTGTCCAAGATCAGAGTGGTACTTGATACTGTTTCTGCCATCATTTGATTATGGTATGCACTATTTGGGGCTACACTAAGAGTTGGAAGGGAAGAAAAAAAAAGGCAATTATAATACATGTAGTTCAAGTAATTCTAGACTAAATCAGTTGAACAATCCCACAAGAGATACACATTGCATCTTAAAGTGACATTTCTTTAAAAAAAGAACAATGAAAAGTGATGGAAAGTACTTTTTCATCTTCACTTACTTGAGGGAATGGCTCTGCTGATGCTAGCAGTACATTTTCTGGTTTTAAATCACAGTGAACAATATTCTTGAAGTGTAAATTCCTCAAAGCAACAAGTATCTACAAAAAGGAAAGAACATTTTTAGAACTATTCAAGTGGATCAAAAGTGTCAAAAGCTACACACACTAAGCAATAGAGTAATTGGTACCAACAGAGTCTTCAAGAATTAACCCATATGTACTGGGTCAGTACTGTTTTTTTCCAGTCAATCAAGACTTCAAACTGATGGTTTTGGTTTTCCTTTCCTTTGCCTCCTTTCCCACCTTCTGAATGCTTACTGTTTTGATATGCATCTTTGGGTGTACCTAATGTTACGTCTTGGGAAGAAGGGCAAAAAATTTAACATAATTAACATTCAAAATTCTTTCCCTGTCTGTTCAATGTTCATTTGGTGTGCTGCCCTCTCTGCTGTCTCTTTTAAATAAAATACAGAAAATGCCTTCTCCAAACTCCATTCTCACATAATAACAAAAGACAAATGTAGCCTTTCCTCTCAAAGTAAAGAAACTGAATGCCAACCTGAGTGACCATGAACTTAGTTATTCGTTCTGGAAGTCGACTTTTCTCACTGGAAAGAATCATCTCTAGCATATCCCCATGCAGCTTTTCCATCACAACAAAGACCCGCTCTGGGGTTTCAAACATACATTCCAGGTTCACAATCCCAGGGTGGTGCAAATTCTAAAATAAATTAGTATAGGTATATTACTAAAATAAAACAGTATGAAATGTCCTGAATTACACAGAAATGTTGTACCTCAAATCAAAAAGCAGTTAAGTAGAGAGTTAGAGATGAAAAAAGCAAGAAACTAGCTTGAAACATGTGTCAACCCACAAAACATGCCAATTACCACTACTGAGACTGATCTGTTTTAACAGAGATTAGCCATAATTATTAATTTTACAGCTGATACACTCAGTAGCTTGAGCACAGAACGTGCCAGAATAATACTCATCGACTGAGGAGCCAGCAGTGGAAGACAGCCAGAGATAATACAAAGTTTCCTGCTACCTGCAGGAGACAACATAGAGCCAAGTATGAGTTCTATCGGGGGTAGATACCACTCCTAAGTCACCTATTTTACCAAATACTCAGGAATTCCTACTCCTTTAAGATTATAACACATGGAATTACAAAATTACTCAGAAATTACATACACAGTTTTAGAAAACAATTCAGAGCACTTACACACACAGCAAAATCTTATTAATTGCTTGAGACAAACTCCAATGTGATCCAAAAATACTTTTGTACCTGGAGAATGGCTACTTCATTACGAAGCTGACTTTCCTGCTTAGTTGGAAACCTCATCTTGTCAATTACTTTGATAGCCACATCTCTTCCAGTCTTCCTATGTTTTCCTAAACAGAAAGTCAACATCAGCCATCAAGTGGCAGAAAGAATTCATTACAGCAGAAATTCCTTTTTGGGGAAACAAGTATATTTTGTACAAACATACTTATATTTAAAATTGCAACTGGTATATGAGTAACAAGAAGCCTCAACAGGAGGGCTGTGGATAAATTTGAAATGGGTATTACGCTTTGCTGTCTAGTATGCACACTGACATTAGATATATTAGATGAAGGTTTTGTTTGTGTAAAGGATCTGTACATTAGCAAGTAATACCTACTCCCACAGAATATTGCCTCTCCTGTAAAAAAAACAGCCACAAAACTATTCAAGACAAATGCAGGGAAAGATTTACAAGGCTTCTCCAGTGGCTTCATACCTTTATGGGCTTCACACACAGAGGAAATTACACTTAATATAATGAGCAGGGCATGGAGTTACTCCAAAGGCTGCTGCGCCAAGCAACTAATGTACCTGCCTTAAACATCACCAGGAATGAAGATTCAAAACCAGGCTTATCACCACTGGATGGAGTAAGGGAATTGATGGAGAGAGCACTCAAGGTCCAAAAGGGTTTACAAAGCTACCAAATAGAACTAACAATCGGGGAGCAAAAAATAAATTTTCAAAAGCTCACAATAGCCCTGAGGAAAGCATACGCTCTATAATGGGCTGTCACAGGCCACAGCATAAAGCCAAAGTCTCAAAAGAGAGATTCAGGGAATTTTGTCATTTTGCCTGTAACAAATCAGCAATTTTTAGGCAAAATATTAGAAATCACAGCACCCAGCTATAATTTCAGTAAACCCCTAGATTCAGGGAAAGTGACTCTGGCTCCACTAGACATCAAATTATATTGAAATGCAGCAGAAATATCACCAATTACAAACCAGATGCAAAACACAGAAGACAAATGCTAGGTTGCAAGAGCAACATAAAGCAAAACCACCAAACTAACAAAACGCTTAACTACGGAAGCTAGACTACAGCTAAAAATTGAACATGAAGAAAGGTTAACAGAAAAGCAGCTTGGAAATTCCTTTTCCTAAGTAAGTAAAACACAACCAACCAGGTTTCAGGGCAAGATTTACATCAGTGAGAAACTGTCAAGGTTTTGGCTTTTTTTTGTCTCCATTTTTCAGACCTTTCAAAAACTAACCAGAATAGGCAAAGCCCAGGGAAACTGTTCTCACTGAAAGAGAGAACCCCTCAGCTCAAGAAGGACAGGGAATTGCTTGAAAGAGTCCAGCGTAGAGCCACGAAGATGGTGGCGGGAGTTGAGCAGCTGAGGGAGGTGGGTCTCTTTAGCTTGGAGAAGAGGAGACTGAGGGGTGACCTCATTCATGTTTATAAATTTGTAAAGGGCGAGTGTCAGGAGGAAGGAGCCAGGCTCTTCTCAGTGATAGCAAATGACAGGACAAGGGGAAATGGGTGAAAGCTGGAACACAGGAGCTTCAACCTGAAGATGAAGAAAAACTTTACTGTAAGGGTTACAGAGCACTGGACCAGGCTGCCCAGAGAGGTTGTGGAGTCTCCTGCTCTGGAGACGTTCAAAACCCGCCTGGACGCGTTCCTGTGTGACCTAGTCTAGGTGATCCTGCTCTGGCAGGGAAGTTGGACTGGGTGATCTTTTGAGGTCCCTTCCAACTCCTAATATTCTGTGATTTTGTGTGAAAGAAACAGGAATTGGATATCAATATCCTATAACTTCTTGATTTACAACTTGTAAATATTTGTCCAGAAGAGGACACCAAAAGAAAAAAGAAAAAACAGAAAAACTAACAAACAAAAAAAACCACAACCACCCCCTACAATAATGTAAGCAAATTAAACTTACCTTTATTTGTTCAAATAAAAGGGGTTTGTTACCATTATTTCTCCCCACCCTACACAGGTGGGGAGAAGCCAATATTAGAAGTTACCAAATCTAGTCTCCCTAAACACCAGCAACAAGTAAGCAGTGTGCAGAGCCAACAAAAGAGTATTTTATACTCTTTTCTTTCTCTTTCATCTTGTGATTTTTCTCTTAAGAAACTGAGTATGAATATGTTATATATTTCAAGGCATCTTTAAGTGAAAAGATTTAATATAATAAAAGCCTTTTATAAGCACTGATTATGTTTATAAGCATTTATCATGCATTGAATCATGAAAAATACCAAGCTGAGATTTATCTTAAAGGCAGTTTAGGAGAGTATATACAGAAATAAAATCAAAACATTAAACTACTGTCTGCATCTGTGCATGTTCTATTCATATGAGAGGAAGCATACTTAAATTCATGCTACGTTTTAAGAAATACAGAGGGGAAAAAAATAGACCTCTCTCAAGACTGATGTAAAACTAGACCATCAAACCACACTTCCAGCAAGCAGTTCAGAAGTCATAGAGGAAAGTAGTGAACTACACAACTACACAACAGTCTAGTTCCTGACTAGAAAGACATGATAGAAGCAGAAAGGTTACCACTTTCAAGTCATTTGCTACCACTTTTTCTTTTTTCCCAGATTTATGGTCTGTGGTTTTCTCAACACTTGAGATATAATATATGGGATTAAAAAAAAAGAAAGAAAAAAGAAACAGACTTCATATGATCCATTTCTGGTATTTCTTCTTTTTGTGATTATATACTATAAACAAGTTATATGTTGCAATAGTAGTTTTTAAAAACTAGAAGTGATAAAACTACATTAGCATAAACTAAAGTGTGTATTTTTCTAATTACTTTTGGCCACATCTCCCAGATATCATTTAAAACAAATATAACTGACAGCCCCCTTAAATACATGGCTTCTAATACTGTAAAATACAGACAACAGTGTTAGAATTTGCAATTAGAAAAACAAAATAACCAAGACCAAATTCAGACTAGAGATTGCTTTGTATTTAACTGTGGTCAAAACGCAATGCATATTCTAAACTGATGTTGATGTCAATACAAAATTCTAAACGCAAAAAATGAATTGTAAGAAATACTGTACTGCAGACAGACACAGTAAAAGTAATCCAAACAAAACCCTTAACCAGATAAACTTTACCTAGGCATTCTAGATACAGTTAAGCACATACAAAAAGGCTAATTACACCAAGCAGACAGACACTCATTCTACCTTAATGGAATCTAATGTAATTTACCTCCATATACGATACCAAACTGACCAGAACCCAGCACTTCATCAGCAAATATTTGGTACACAGAGCTGATATCCTAATGCAGGGGAAAAAAAGAGAAATCACAGATATCAGGAGTAATCAAAACATTCACGAGTATATTAGTTAGTACTGGCTAAGCTGCATTTACATTTTAAGTTAATCAAACTCTGTAAAGGGTGCCGTTGTTACCCTGAATGGAGTGGAAAAACACAACAAACTTGTCCTGAAAATCCACTCAGCTGCACTGTAAGCAGGGACACACATCCATACAAACTAACAGCTGTGCCAGGTAAGTACTATATATGGTATGTAACATATACGGTGTGTACATATGTAGTATATAACACAGACTTCTTTAGCTACAATAGCCTGATGTTGCTTTCTCATCCAGACACTGTTAGTACCCATTACTTTGTAATACCCAGGTAAACAAACACCATTATTATACAATGCATGTGACTCACCACATTCTCCTGGACCTGGCAATTTGACACAGAGATGCTTAGAGATAACTCTTCTGCAATAAAGAAGATAAAACTGAGTAAGTAAATAGGAAGGGCAGGCTTTTTCTAGCAAAAATGGAGGAAAAAATGAAAACAAAGCGAAAGACCTTTACTGATTTCTAACCTAGTCATGATGAAATTATTTTTATCAATATTCTGCAGAAACATCATACCCTAGAACTCAAATTTCATCACAGATTTATTTAGATAAACAACCCTGGGAGTTTTGCTGGGATTATTAACCTATTTTTCTCATATCACTCATTACAAAACCAGTATGAGTGTATACACAACAGAGAGCTAGAGAACCAAAAGAAATAGTGACGCAGCAATTATATCAGAGTTCATTAAACTACTAAGAATTTCTGGTAGTAATATAGAAAGATACAGGGAAGACAATCAGACAGAGACCTTATAGTCAAATGAATGTGGGTACTAATTTTCTGCGGCATCAAGATATGCAGAATTAATGCATTAAAAAAGGAAACGAATCAAGTAAAGCAAGTAACATAATTAAAAATGCAATAAACCAAATATAAACAATCTTTGTTTCACGGATAAACTACAGAAGCGGAATATAAGAGCACATCTAAGAAATGCAATTTGCAAGTAAAAGCACCAGATAAAGATCCAGAATTCTTCAGCCTGCAGCAGATGTTGACATGACGTTTTCATTACAGAAATGAGATTATGATGCACAGACAAGAAGAGATACATCAAGAAAGGCAGAAAACATCCTTTTCCTTTGACTTTCAAGACAGAGCATTGTCTGAAGCATTTCAGACAAATGGACACCTACCATCTGTTATGTTAACTTCCAAAAAAAAGTAGAACAAATTCACATAGAAGGTTGATAGAAGATACATTGTAGATTTACTAGCACTTTGAGAAGAGCCTTTATCGCCCTAAGATGACCCCTGGGCTTTAGAAACATAATTTCAGAGAATAAAGAAAATACCTCTATCTAATTTTTGACACCTGTGCTTTATCTCAAAGAAGGAATTCACAGACTTAAGCTAGCAACAAATATGAGTGCTCAAAGACACTCTGAATACTGCATCTGAAAGATGAACTGGAATTACAGCCTTGCATCTGTCTATGGATTACTGACTCTAGTCAAGTCTGTATTGGAATAACAGTACACAACACCAGGAAAAACAGGAAAAAAGGCAGACAAAAAAAGTTACTAAGGAAAACACAAACTGCAGCAAGGTTGAAATAAGGTAACTAGAAGGTAAAGACACAGTTTTTGAAACTCTCCAAAGGGAACACACTGAACCCTTCTCCACAGATGGCTACAAAACACAAAATATCTGTTAGGTAAAGACTGTGTTACTCCTTCCAAACAAATCAATTTTTCTAGTGCTTGAAATGCGCAAAGGCTGAAAAACGGTCACTTCTGAAGAAATCAGTAATGCTAGGATTCCATGTGTAATCTATACCAGGTACCAGCTTACTAATCTTCTCTTTCTCATTTCAGCTCAGGAACGTCCCACCCAACCACCAGGTACAGGGTCAGCAAGGGCTCTCCCATGGGTCAAACTGGAAGAACATCCTCATTTCTTGCTACTTTCTGGCTGGAATGTAGTATACATTGACCAGCTGTTTCTTGAGGACATTTTCATACTATAGATTCCCTGCTGCTGTAAGTATTTCAAACATTAGCACTGTCTCCCTCCTCTCTTGGTCTTTTCATTTAAAAGAAGATATTTGATGCTTTTGGGGGTTTGGTTTTTTAGCCAGAAATCTGATTTTCTTAAAGGCTCTTGGGATACATTTCATGGTTCACAGTGTGCAGGAAGGAGAGGGATGAACAGACGTTTTGAGAGTTTAAAAACCAACTCAGTAAGTTGTCTAAGAATACGGGGATGCCATTCCACAGTAGTGCCATTCACAGTAGTTTCTTATGCTCCTACAATCCCAAACATGCTAAAATACTTCTTCTCTGTATCTACCCCTGCAGCTTCTCTGCCACTGTCAAGTTTTAATATAAAAATATTATTTATATCTGCAAAAATACTGATTTTGGAATAACCAACTGTCTGTGAGAGTCTCTCAGCAACAGTAAGCCTTAGATTATAGCAAACAAAGATATTCCAATATATATTTGGAACTAAGAATTTCATATCAAAAGTGGCATTTTATGTATCTGTAAGGCCAGCTATGAGGTATCATCTTACAGCTATGTTTCTTCACTGTTATTAAATACTGACACCAGTACTGGCATTTCATAGTTTACCATTTCAGACCATGGTTGTATTTTCAGAAAGTGCCTTTACCTCAGACTAGCATTTACATGTTCTTAACCAGATACCAGAGATGAAAAACTAATCTCAGAATCTCCTGCAAAAGAAAATTTCACTAAAAGAAGATTAAGGAGTAGCTGGAAGATGAAAGAAAACTAAAGAACAAAAGCATAAATCTCAGTACAGAATGTAAATGAACATCATTGTGAGGAACAAGATGTCTGAAGAGAAAGAACACAATATATAGCTTAGTGGAACTTCAATAATGAATATGATCTTATGCTAGAGAAAGAATGGGAGAATGAGTGTATAAAAGGAAGAATAGGGTACTTTTTATTACTACCCGCAGCTCAGCAGAAGTTCTTTCCATCACTGACAGTGTTTACATTGCATCATTAACTCCTTTTCTTCTCCTTAGCTACTGACATCTCACAGATTTTAAAAAATATATAGAAGATAACATCAGAAAGTGCCAAAATTTAGGTTTTTCCAGATTATATGTATATAATCTGAGTGTGTGTGTGTGTATATATACACACACACACACACATACACACGCACACATTTTTAAAAAATATATTAGGAATATCTAAACTACGGTTCCTTTTTACATCCAGCAACTATGTATGAGTTCTTAACTGACCTACAATAAAGCTCTGCAATATACACTTATATTGCAAATCTGATTAACTCCTACTTACTGCTACAACAGATTGAAGGATTTGCCCACCCTTCACAACCCTGAGTGTTGCTTCTTAGAGACTTGTGGAAAATTATGGACCCAGTTCAGCAGAGAATAGACAGGTAATACGTCACTCTAAAGAAGCACTTTTCTGAAAGGAATCTCTACCATTAACAGCTTCAGAATATCAAAAACAGTGCCTTGTCTCCCTGCTTACTGTGATCTTTTCCTTGTCCTGCAGCAGTGCAAACGCTAGCTTGAGGAGTGACTGGCATCAAAGCCTGACGAATGGCTTTCTCCCAGCCCTGAGCTACGTCAAGTCCGACTCCGGTGGCAGCAAGAACAGGACTGTGGTGACTGCTGCCATTGTTTTCGCCAACAAAGTACACCATCGTGTCAGTGATGATCTCAAAACAGTATGGGTTGCTGCCCTGCACCACGTTTGAAAAATCTCGAGGCTGAGTCACCTGGAGAATTTCTGAAAGTGGAATCTCCTGAAGAAAAATATTAAAGATTAAAAAATGAAAATGCACATAATATATTAATATACTGATAATCAAAACTTAAAGCGATTGCAAAGAAATCGAAGCAAATATATCAAAATAGCAAAACCAAAATAACAAGCTTCATAAGTTATGTCAAACTGTGCATGACCATTGCCCACCCACAGTTTTCTCAATTCCTCTATACAAGCCTAGAGAGGCTTCCAGGCCCAACACAGTTCTCTCTATACACAACTATTCTCCACTCAAACTGCATTTACATCCAGCACAACACATGCCCCCACCAAATACAAATGATGCACAACTACAGAATGACCATTTTCCCGCTGTAGTTTATACAGCTTAGCTAGAGAAGAACATGACGGGGGTTGGAAAAGTGAAACAAGACAACATAAAGAGGATGAGGTTATATAAGCGAGTCAATAAGCACTGCTTCACGCATCTGAAACAGTTTTGGTAAAGATTCTCTTTCAAATAGATATTAACAATTTCTACTGACTCCTCTACCTTGCCATTTTAAGACTGTGGTACAAGCAGCACTAGAGAACAGAACTGAAGGAAGAAATGGTGGCAAGTTCACACCAGCTGGAGGAGGACATTCCACATACATGGGAAGGTGTACAGGTGCACATCACTTGCAAGAGTAGTGAACAAGCGGGTGAACACCAGGGCGGCATCAGGGGATAAGGGGCAGTAGCTGGTTAAGATGAAGAGCAAATAAATGTAAAGGCAAAATTGTGAATGATTCTAACAGCAAAGACCTGAGATTTAAGCAGTTGAAAAAAGGGGTGCAAAGGGGCAAGTCAAAGGACCACAAGCAGTGACATAACGGAGCAACGAGCAAGGAAAGTATTTTACCAGCTGTGTTTTGAATGCACAGGGCAATACAAGTATCAGGGAGTTCTGAGAAGAGACTGTACTGGTCAAGATAGGGATGAAAAGGATCTGGGCAAGTTTAGCTGAGTGTACAGAGAAAAGGCTTGATCTTAGAGATGTTATAAAGGAAGAAGCTGTAAGATTTGGACCCCCACCTAAAGGTATAAGACAAGAAAGGGAAAATCCTGTTTATACATTCAAACACATTTTCTGATTATTCCACCAATGAACACATTACTATATGAACAATATACTAAATTTAATTTTATGCTAAATTTAAATCTATGCTAAGTTTCATTTCTATAATGCCAAGCTGCACAGTAAATTCTCCTCTAAATCTTGCTTCCACCTTTCAGTTGTACAGTTGGCAATAGTTTAATTCTGAGAACTTCAAATTAAAATACACGAGCATGCAAAATTTCAGTCCGAGCCTTCATTAGACTGGTGCCCAAACAAATTCTCTGGTAATTGTGAATAAAGCTTAATGTGCTAGGCAATTCAAGAGAACAGTACATGCAAAATATAAGTAGAGACGTACTCAAGGGGATTAGAGTAGGAGCTGCAAGCAACTTCTCAGTGTTAATCGTGGTCCTCCTGACTTATAAGATTTGGACAACAATCAACCTGCCACAGTTTTGATTAAAAAAAAAGTGAGGAAATGGAGATAATACTTATACTGCTCACAATATTTCAGCTCTATAAAGCAAGTAAATCAAGTGCAACATAATTATTACTCATCATTAATTACCTTGTAATATTTTGTTCCAGATTCATTTTGAAACAGTGTGAGGCATTTGCTGTCCAGTCTCCAGTAATGTCTTTTTCTCTACAAAATGCACAGTACAATAACTTAAGGAATAGATCACTGGTATGGCTTTTGTTATCCAATTATTTAAATGAGAGAAATGCTTTCAATTAATAAGATAATCAACTAGCTTTAAGCTACAGTTGCACCTTAGACTAGATACATGAAAATAAACACTTTGGAAATAAAGTTTTTTTGAAAACTGAAGAAGAGGCTCAAAATTATTTCTACAAACCAGAAAAAATACCACTTACCATACAGCATTAGCAGTGACAACAGCAGTTATCTTGTACAAGAAAAACACTTACATAGGTTTCACTCCAAGTGCATGTGCTCACAAAACCCAAATTATTTTAATTTAAGAATAATTGTGGCAGTCATGTTTTCTCCCTCTGCACCCTCACACCAACACTGCAAGGGTTCAAGGACTGAGCAAGCCTAGCAAGTCCTTAATTCTTTTGTCAACACAGAATTCTAAAAGCCAAAAGCGCACAGTGGCAAGACAGACAGATTATGAGATTCAAGTGGAGAAAATATCCTGAGAGGGGGAAAACAAAATAAAAATCAAGACAGACTAAACAGCCATTTTCTGGAAGTCTCCATCAATGAGAAGTATCTTCTCCACCAAAAGTAATACGAATAAGCTGCATATAGTCTTGCAGTTTTAAGAGGAACATTCCTCAACACAAAGGAGCTCTCAGAAAGTTATTATGGCTGCACTAATCTAACTTACTTTGCTTGCACCATGCTCATATAGTTAGAAACCCATTTTCATTTTTCTGTGACAAAAATACAAGACTCTTAATTCTGGCATAGGATGACAAAGTTTGAAAAATAATACAGCAGAACTTAAATCACTTCAGTCATGCAGAGGCTAAGATTACCTGTGGAAGTCAGACAAAGAAAGCTAGGATATGAATGGATTTAATTAACTGAAATGCCCAGCCAGCACTGTATGGAAATTGGGTAAAAGCATGAGAGTGAACCTGTCCTTTGGACATAATATGTGCCCTTCATTAAATCATGAATTGGGGAAGACTTTGGAGGGTTGAGGGAGAGCGGAATTAAGGAACAAGTTGGTAACACACTCCAAAAGATTCAAAATCTGCCCATACCATATTTTGGGAAAGGATGGTCTCAGAGTGAGTCAAGGAATATAGACAATGATACAGAAACTTCTCACTATAAAGTGTGAAATGTCTTGTTATTTCCAGATATTTCAAGGGTAAGCAAGAAGTACACAGATATTGCCGTTAAAATGAACCTCTTTGGAACTGATATAAAGGCCAAGCTGTTTCAAGAATAGGAAATAGTTGTAATGCCTAATATGGAAGTCTCCTCCCCTTAGGAAGCTCTACAAAATCTTGCTTGGTTGAAGGTATCTTCCTTTGAGGCAGAATACTCTACTTCATTTGAATGGCCTCTTTCATTAAATGTCATCTAGGTAGCAGCCAGACTAACAGAAGATTTAAAAAAATATCAAACTAAGCTAAGGTGTACAATCTGATCACTGTTCTATGAGGAGGTCCAAAAAAGTCTACAGAAAAATGTACTGCCTGCACCAAAAGATTAAATCAAAGCTGAGTATCAGATCTGCCCTGAGCCAGCTGATGATAATTGTGTCTGTTAAGGAGCCTTGGCTGGAATCTCATCTGAAACACATCAGTTATTTATTTTAGTTTGTGATAAATACATCTAGGTACTTTAAAGAAATGTTTAGTAAGGCAGTTTCTGACAGACCACTTGCAGTGGTCTGTTTAGTTGACAATCACAAAAACTAAAATTACTACAGTAACTTGAGCTGATTAGTATCACCCCTTAGCTTCATTTCAACAGGAATTAAATAATTTTGCTTCTCTAAATTCCTGAAGCCTCCTTCAATCAGACCCTTGTGCAGAGAACGCAAAAGTATTTATGCTGCCTTTCATGCAAACAGTCTCAATATGACACACTATGCTTCATGAGATCTGGGAACTTCTTGACTTCATCCTTTTCATTCATCTGCCAAAAGACAAGAGGAGGACTCACACCCTCCCATCAGACAACTCTAATGAACCCAGCCTATTCTCCCTTATCTTCCTCCTGAATATACAAAAGTAAGGAGCTTGTCTAAGAAGGTTCAATTAAGACATCATTATTTGTTGCACTGGAACAAAGTGCCCAAGAATATACTGTCAAGCCACAACTCCTTACTCCACTGACATCAAGAGGAACAGTGAGCTTTGGGGACATGGCATTCAATAACATGTACTTTCAGACAAAGCAATTTGCTAGAGGAATGAAGGGGTCCCATATCTACAGATAAATATTTACAAACACCTAGATCATTAGAATAATAGTGTCAACCATTTCAGTATTCATCATTTTATAATGATTTCCACCTTTTCATGTAGCAGAATAAAAGCACTGATACAAGTAGTTAGCTCAACTGCTGAAAAGAAAGATGTCAGCAAACTATTCCAAATTATTATCTCAGGAAAGCTAAAATTTTAAACATGCAATTCATTTGAGACAATTTAGAGATAATGCTTCTTCTTAAAAGGGAGAAGGAGAAGTACTGTTAAATGAAAAATTTTGAATAAACTACAGTTTCTCCTTTGCACCAGATTTCTTTGCACCATGACTAAGTTCTTTCAAATGACACTGTAAATCAGAATATCTAAATAAGAGAAATAAAATACACTGGTTTAGAGAAATAATTAAAATTAATGTAGGAAGAAACTAAAGTCACTGACCAGATTGTCTCTACTAGTGTAGTGGACCATCCACCCTTCCTTCACCATTGTACTGCTCTTCCTCTTTGTGTGCTTGATCGACTGTACAACTCTCATGAGTGGAATATTATTGCTTGTTGAAGGACTAAAAAAAAAGATAGAACAGTTACTATTTAACAAGTTAAAATACAACAGTACTGCAATTATATTTGTACTACACATTTAGCCTGCAATATTCAACAATAGGTACCTTTTTTCTTACCACACAAATTATTTCATTGATAGATTAAATTGACAAGGTATATGAGCTCCCACTAGCTCTCCTAGTGCAAGTATTGCAATACTTAAATTAGTCTGTGGAACACAGAAGAAACACATTGGAATGAGGATACTTCAGAATTAATCTTGTCTCAAAACAATTAAGTGAGACTGCCGGTCTTAATCCAGCATAAAATTACAATTATCATCAGCAGTGCTATTATTTTATTGTCTGTGTAAGTTAACAATATGAAGCAGCAGCATAGTCAACTTACGCTAATGAAGGTCCCTATCTAAGTATACTTTCAATTTATGAAAATATCAACAGGGGTGTGTTAATTCAAATCACAGATGCATTAGGAAATCTTATGAACGCTCAGGGATATTAATGGCCTTGCAGACAAGGATTTGACAATCTCTAACATTCTGACAGTCATTAGTTAAATGTACAGGTCTTAATAGCACTGAAGACAGAGTGAACCAAGTTGTCTGCTTCACACCAGAGCTCCTGCATGTGACACTAACAGAAATGTTTGTCAACACACAAAATCACATGGCAGATCCAAAACCAAAAATGTAAAGATGCTTTAACACAGCACACAGTTACACTGCAGAACTGGCTGCTGCAAGATGCTGCACATGCCAAAAAACTTTAAGTGCTTCAAATGCAATTAGAAATAAATGGAAAAATCCTACCTAGAGGTAGAATACAGAAAAGATGTGACTTCCAACTAAGGAAGTCCTTGAGCTATAAATCACTGAAAGCTGAGAAGATAGCACTATGTGCTCTTCCTTACGTATTTGCTATTAAGCACTGAGCTAAAATGACCTCTGGTTTAACCTAATATAACTGCTCTTATGTTATTAAGAATGACATAAGAAAATCAGGGTGACACCGTTCAGAATAATACAGAAAGTAAAAAGACCAAACTTGATTAAAGGAACTATGTGACAGTTATCAGATAGAAGACTTCAGGAAAATCACATTCAAGTTAACAAAACAAAACAAACAAGCTTCTGCCTAAAACACACATAAACAAGGATGTGAATAGCAAAATACCTCGAGTAATTCCTTTTAAATCAACACATGCATAACAGTAACTAAATTAGGCTAAAGTCATGAAGATGTGAGTCATGTTTTAGCCATGTTCAGCAATAAATTTCACCCCATTTTGATAATCTGTCTTTGACAACAGGCAAAGCACAGCACTTTTTCCAATCAGAAGACTTTTTTACTTTATGTTTCAGATTAGGGAAAGGATACCTTTACAAAGTATCTGAGTTTAAAAAAAAAGCCCACACAAATAAGAAAATAACACTTTAAGTAGTAAAACTGGGCTAATCAGAAGTGTTTTACTCGAAGTTTTACTTCACAGTATTGAGGAAAGCACATCCAGAGTGAAGAAACCCACCATATGACTTACCTGATGGTTTTGACAGCTTCCTCATCTTTTTCTGCATCAAGGTCAGACGGATCCATAAAGAAGATTTTGTCCTCTGGAGGAGAGGGCTCTTCAGCATCATCCAGACCCCGACTACCATCACTGTTCATTTCACTGCTATCAACTTCCATTGGCATGTCCAGGTCCTGGCCTGGGCTAGCAGGTTCTGAAAACAACACAGGATTCAGATATTATTTCAAACACACAATTTAAAAAACAAAACAAAACAAAAACTCCACAAAATTTCTTCTTCAGTTTGCAGTTATGCAAATAAACATAAAAGTATAATCAGAATACAAAAAATCCTCAAGTTTTTGCTACATGATACAGAGCATGCTAATGAACATTATCAATTTGTCATTGCTAAATGCCAAGGCAAGAGAGACCCAACCAAAACAAGAACCATACTGAAAGAAATGGAGTGAAAAGCTTAAGGTCTAAATCTAAATCTCATTAAGTAATTCTGTTCCACAAGTAACAAATACAAAGTAACCTTTGGATGGCTAGAGATGACCCAGAGAATTATTTCTGAGCAAATGAAATTCTTTGCAAACAGAAACCCAGCTCTATTCTCGCTGCCCTTGTAGCCCATAACAATGAAAGTAAGAGAAAAATGGGGGCTATGATATTGCTCATATCTGACTGTCCACTGACAGAAGTTTAAAGTCTCCAAAAGCTGTGGAAACTGCACTCCAGAAAACTAGGAAATAGATACACAAATACCTTCATCAGTAGCTTTTTTTTTTCCTCAGTCTCAGGAGAGCTCAACTTAAAGGTAGGAGAAAGAAAAATTACATTACTTCTTATCTCCATGGCAGAATTGTCTGAATCTGTAGTTCTCAAACTACAGATTGCTTTACCACCTTAGCATCACAATGGTGGTGAAAGCAGGTGGCAGCAACATGTTGCACGCTATTGTTCATAGCCACCAGTCTCAAGATCCAGGCAAGAGCCCTGGAGCTGGAGAAGGCAGGCATGAACAGACGGGATATGTTGTGCAACAGACCCACTGGCTAACAGAGCTGCTGCCCAGGCTGCTGAATCAGGTTGTTCGGTTTGGTGTGATTTGTTGCATGCCATCAGTTTTATTCCACTCAAAAATATGCATGCCAAGGATCAAGATTTTGGGCAACACAATCACAGAATGGTTGAAGTTGGAGAGGACCTCTGGAGGTCATGTGGTTCAACAACCCTAGTGAGCCCATTTCTCCAGCCTGTCAAAGTCTCTCTGGATGGCAGCACAACCCTCTGGCATATCAGCCAGTCCTCCCAGTCATCAACAGACTTGCTGAGCATACACAGCCCTATCATCCAGATCATTAATGAAGATGTTGAACAGGACTAGATCCAGTATTGGCCCCTGGGGTACACCACTAGTTACCAGCCTTCAACTAAACTTTATGCTACTGATCACTGCCCTCTAGACCCAACCATTCAACCAGCTTTCAATCCACCTCACTGTCTGTTCATCCATCCCATATTTCATCAGCTTAACACTGGTCTAAAACTTCTAAGAATAAGGCCCTAAACTTTAATCCACATACTGTTGCCCAGCTTACTCTTTCAACTCTGTGAGGTCTAATCAGAAAATAGTCCTACTTAACTGAAGTTTCAAAAAAATTAGAGTGGAGGTTTTTTTGTTTTGTTTTGGCTCTCTCTTTTACCTCACAAACTGCTGGGCTAACTCTGGCCACTAAAAATCATAAATATGAGAAAGTCACAAAAATTGGTACTTATTACTTACTCAGATATTAACATTTTAAAATATATATTTCATGGTGAACAATGAACAGACTGATCACAACAGAAGTTTAATTTTTGTACATGGAGAAGACTTCCTGATTTTATTTTCCTCAAGCAACCTCAAGCAAAGCATACTGGACTTGCCATGACTGATTAAGTAAAATTAAAGCCACCAGAGTACAAGTTTTGAACTGTGAGTGCTCTCAGGTGAAAAAAACAGGAAGATAAAATTAAAAAAACATAAAATATGCAACAATGAGGGAACCAAATGCTAATGCATTTTGTGAAGTCTCCAAAAATCTGTCAGTATTTGAAAATATGTTTCCCATCTTACCTCCATTGAAAACCACCTCTCCAAGACAATCTCTAGGTACTTTAGGTGCACAACGCTTGTGACAGTTGAATCTGCAATCTACAACAGAAGACAAATAAGTCCATAATACCAGAATCCTAACTCCTGCTCAAACACTAACATTTTGTCATTCACTACTTCCATCACAAGCTTCAGTTCAGATTCATATATTTGCAGTAACTGAAGACGGCACCAATGAAGTCACTTCCAGAAGGAAATTAACAATCTTGTCCTGATGTCTCATGTTGATTTGCCCCATTACTATTTATTATGTCAGCACTTCCCCTTCCAGTACAAAACAGTTTTCTACTTCTCTAGCCTTCTCTGTAGCTATTTTTTCCATTATGATGTAATTTTTTCCCATCCTCTCATCTGTTCCACAGACTTTTTTCCATTGCTGGATGATTTAAATGTCTCATCTCTACCATTTTTCCTCACCTGTTGCCTAAGACTTGCAGCCATCAGAGTCCCTAGGATCACATACCTATATCACAGAGCAAATATGCTCTGCAGTAAATCACAAAGCCCAGTTCTCCTATCACTCAGATTACAGGTTTGGCTGCATACTGAAGCTCTATTTCTGCCTGCCAACACAGGGCAGACGAAATAATGTTATGCCCAGATCTGGCCTGATGTGGAGATGGAATCTAACCTGGACAACTGCCATTTCTTCATCTGAGGTATCAGACGCAGCCTACTGAACAAAGTTCAGCACACAACATTAGTGTTATTAACAGCAATTTCCTTCATTAGCAGCATTTGGGGTTGGACTAGATGGTCTCCAGAAGTCCCTTCCTACCTCTAACAGCCTGTAATTCCATTTCGCAGCATACAACCTTCTTGCAGTCAAAATGTAAGTTGAAATTAGTTTTAAATACAAGACCTTTACTGAAATTTATCGCTGCCGCAGAAAATTAAATGTTTACCTTTACACTGCATTCCTTGGCGAAAAAGGCCCTTGAGCAGCCGTTTGCAATACTGGCATATGGTGGGACGAGTGTAAGAGTGAACTGCAAAGGTGTGAGGAACCTTCACTCTGCAAAGCACCATCTTTTCCATCCAGATGGGACGGCCACTCCAGGAGGGAATCCTCTTACTAGGTTCTGGGCAGCAGCGCTGGAATAAAGAAAGTAGACATGATTTACACCAGAACAGCTTTGTTTAGGGGAAAAAAAAAAAAAAGTCAGTGGAGCTGGGAGGGAGGCGTTGGCTCAGAAAGTGACGGGGTAGAAAAGCAACCTGGCCAAGAATCTTCAAGAGATATTTTGATATCCTAAAACAAAACTAAGAAAACACCAGACAGAAAAGCCTTGCAAAAAGCTGCAAAGTAAGTATGAATCTTTATTTCCATAGAAGCAAAAATGGTAAAAATTAACATTTATTACTCTTTTGGTCTTCGTTTTTTTTTTTAAGCCACCTGGCAAGGTTCACAGGCAGCACATACACACCGACACATAAGGGATAAAACAGAAAACACTGGAGGCTGGCAAAGCAAAATCCAATCCCCACCTCAAGCTATCAGTTTAAAAAAGCAAGTTAGGTTAAAATATTTAGAAAAAAAATTAAAAGGCATTTTGGAAATTAAACCCTTCAAGAAATCTTTTTAATTAAGTTAAAAGTAAAACTTTGGCAATTAAAACAAAAAAGTCATTGAGCATCTTACTGAACATTCAAGCAGGATAAATTTACATTTACCTACATCTACAGAAAAATGCAAAGGAACATGGCCCTGTATATCTGACCTAAAGCATCTTAAGACTGCTGAAAGATGAACTGCAAATATAAAAATTGCTGATAAAATATAGTATTACTGATCATCTAAGCCAAGTATTCAAAACCAGATAGCAAAGAAGAGGTATCAAAGAGGTACTAAAGATACATGTAGAAATCACCAAGTTAAATTCCATGAGAGGAGAAACACAATTTTATGTTCACCAGATCACTCTTACCAGTAGTTATAAACAACAGAATAAATACTTTTCATTACTCAAGACTAAGCTTCATAGCCTCTAGCTAAAAAACTTATATTCTTGAACTAGAAAAATCTATACAACTTGTATTTTAAACTATGGTAAGAATGTGAGAATTGTTATACTATAAAGTAATAGAAACAGATAAGTAGAAAAGACAGTGTCAAAAGCACCACTTTTATCCCACAGTGAAAGCAGCAATGAAACAAATGGATGTAATAACTGCTTGCCCTGCCTTAAGGTCCCAATATAGTTGCAGTACAATTGATAACCTCTTGGCAACCCTCACAACCATTATAACAAAGAACTAATATGGATGATGGTTTTTACTGCAAGCCCTTCAGCCCCTACACCCCCCTCCTTGATAGAGTTTGTTTTTGGATTAACTCTGTGAAAAGTTTAGCAGCATATCAAGAACACTCTCTACTCTCCCAGAATAAAAGCTTACAATTTGTACTGCATTACCCAAGAAACTATTCTATACTGATACCATGATTACAGAATGAATCTGTATTACAAAGAATGCAAGGTGTTTTATCATTCCTGAAACCAAAGTTGTCAGAGTTCATCTAACCATGAGTGACAGGCAAACAGCAAAATTATACATAAGAGTTATAATCTACTTCCTATTTCATTTCTCACAGTAATAAGAATTATCAGTAAGTTTCACAGTTTAATACTCACATTGAAAAAATGAAATAAAACCGATCATAATGGTTAAGCTCAACTCCCTCGTACTCATTATGAGCCACCTGCAACACTAGCTAGTTCCCCAGAGGTTAAAGGGTTTAAAACCAGAAACTTGTTTCCCCTTCCACATGACATACTTCTTCAGAGGCAGAGGATGAGTATTCAGCTTGCGCTGGTCTTGGAACTGAAAGCCCTGCTCCTGGTAAAGACACATTAGACAGACGCCTCTTTCTCACTCCACTGCAGTTATTTGGAATCTTGAAGGCACATCGCTTATGGTAGTTTAACCCACAACCTGAAAAAGAAGGTTTTTTAGAAAAAAAAAATCTCAGCATTCCAAGTAACAAAAACAGTACTAGTATTTTGATAAAGCTTTTAAAAAGATGATACAGGAAAATGGTAAAGGCAGAAATAAATTGTTCTGTTAAATTATCTTCTTTTCATGTTCTTAATAGAAGTAGAGTTTTTTGCACTACTTGCTGTAATACTGGTCTCTAGTAAGCCCAGCTCTAGAAACAAGGTCTAAGACTTCAAAAGCAGCTGATTGCTCTCCTTCCTTCTCACCCCCCACAGGAGGCTTTCATCACTCCCTCACACTGGAGCACAAAAGCCAAGGAGAAGGCAGTGAGCAGGCGGTGTCAGTACCTGACAGCAGGCTGCCAAGTGCTCGCAGCCAGCTGGATGAAGGCCACAAGGAAAGGGATTCCCCTTCGGGAGTCTCTCCAAAGTATGTGCTCCTTGGGCAAAGAACACACACTTGGAAACAAGCTGGTTTTTTCAAAGCGGGAAACAAGGACACTTCTTAAGTCATCTGCCCAAGGTCACACACAGTTTGCGTTAAAGCCAGCATCAGAACTCGGGTTTCCTGATGCACAACCCGTCCCAGCTCTATGAAATACTACATTTCACACAGAATCACAGAATCACAG